AGAACAGTTCCAATTTTCCCAAGTCTCCAAGCACCCACTTTTCACATGAGACATGTTCAATTGAAAAAAAGGGGATGCTGAGCAGAACACTGAAATGGCCAAACCCCATATTAAGGATTGGTTGGCAAATGTGGGAGAGGGGTCCCTGCACCCATTTTTTTCAATAGGTCCCTGTTAGACCCCTACTCCACGCGATGCCCAACAACTAGGGAGACAATGGATCGATGCCATCATGCATCACCTGCACACATTGCTCATCAACAGCCTTATTCAAAATGGAGACAGCTTCAGGCCAGCTCCAACAAACCAGGGAGCTGCACTGAACATTAGTTCTTTTCATATTTATACATCTTGGTTTATTCTCATTAACATTTACTCCACCTTTGTCCCTCCATTGTTCCACTCATATTCCCTCCTATCTTAAACTCCACCTCTGTTTACTCTTTATTTCTTTAGCATGGAATTACCTATGCATTTCACTTATTTACATTGCTTTCGCTATGAGTGCATGCCTAAAACCATGACCCTGGCTTCTTTAGGTCATATGCGGTTTCTTGCTGATTTCTTCACCATCTCCAAGGTCTCGCTTCTGCTTTATCTCTAATGATAGCCAGTGGTTTGCATCCTGTTCTCCTTACACAATGAGCTATGTATCTTACAACACTACTACATTGTTAGGAAAATGCTTGCCTAAGCATCTTGCAATGTTACTTTTAACATACCATTCTGCCTTGTGGTTAGCAGCTTTGCTAGGCTATAGGTTATAGCCTTTTATTCAGCTGCAAATCTAATGCTTCCCAAGATCCAAATACAATCACCCTAATAGTCCCATTAGCATATCCATAGCTAGGAGCAGCAAGTAAAATCACAGACCCAATTTTCCCAAGTCTCCAAGCAGCCCCTTTTTACATGAGACATGTTCAGCAGAAAAAAAGGGGGTCCTGAGCAGAACACTGAATGGCTGAATCCCAAATTAAGAGTTAGTTGACAAATGTGAGTGTGAGGTCTCCACACCCACTTTTTTGAATACGTCCCATTAGCACATTGAGAACTATGCCAGGCATCCATGAGCAATCACTGCCAGGGTGGGAGAGGGAGGGTGCTTGAAGGGCCAGTAGTAATTCCTTTCAGTAAAGTTGCATTGCAGGTAGTGATTTTTGGGTATTACCAGCCGTGAGCCATTAAGACCTATTGTTCTGGACAATGGGTGCATGTGGGGGACACTTTTGCACAGGCTATGGATTTCAATGGTGTTCTGTTAGGAAAATTCACTTGGGCAGATTGGTGCTTAGTATTAGTACTAAGGCACAGTTCACACCTTCATAGGTATGCATATCTTTCAAGTCAGACCTGCATGAAAAGTTTCCATACAAATAAATGTCTATGTCACTGCTCTCAGCCGTGGGCAGAAAGCATCTATTGACTCTGGTTAGAGCATAGCAACCCCTCTCTCACTGCCTAATTTTGGCCCCGAAAATATACTCCATGGTGGCACAAAAGAAGGAGCAATGTCTGTCTGTTTTGGAGGAGCAGCCTTGTACATCTCAAAGCCATGGCCTCCAACTGGAGCCATGATGAACTGAAGACTTTGATTGATATTTGAGGGGAACAAAAGGTTCTGTCGCAGCTGGCAAATCGATGAAATAAGCCAGTCTATGCAACCATTACTAAGCAAATGAAGGAATGTGGCCACAATCATGCCTGGGTCCAGTGCCACAGCAAGACGAAGGCCTTGAAATGTGCTTTCCATCAGGCCAAGGACCAGAATTCTCATTCTCAGACTAGACACACAGTAGCTGCATTCTATGATAAGCTGTTGACCATTCTCTCGAAGGATGCAGGAGGGCTTGCAAATGATCATTTGTACGACAGGGGTGCAGGAGGTAGCCGTAGCATCACCTAGCCAGCAACAGCCTACAGACTGTCCTGACACTGGAGCGGGCAGTGAGATAGTCACTGCTCAGTCTTCAGACAACCAGTCTGAGGTGGGGGGTGGTGAGTGTTTGCAGCATCAATAGGAAACAGAGAACCAAGAAGAAGTTCTCTTGACCATGACTCCACTCTCCCCAGGATCTGTCCTGAATATCCCAGAGGAAGAGGAAAAGTACGCATAGGACTCCACGATGATACTGACCCCGAATTTGTCCTGCACACCAGAAATTCCTGAGACACAAAGATCGATGTCAGTGCTGGAGGTGGCTGAGGATCCACACCCAGGGACTTGTAGGTTACGGGAAAGGGGCATTAGATTGGTTTGGGCAACTAGGGCTTAGTGAAAGAGGGGGTTACTATGGGAAGTGGCATATATGTCCACTGCTTGCAGTCGTACAATATTTCACATACATGGAGTGGACATGCTGGGCCATCTCTTAAAGTTGCTAGTGGGGGTGTGGGACGAGATCTTTGACCATCAAGACCTTTTTTTTGTTCCAATTCCTGTTACCAGTTACTGCATTTGCTGGAATTTTGGGATGTACACCTGAAGTTCAGACACTAGCACAGACCAAAGCCGAGCAAATGTCTGAGCACTACTGTAGGAAGTGACAGTCAAGAGAAGGCATGATGGAGATTTTGGTGTTGGTCTCCCAACTGCAAGTACACACCACAGCTGAGTTGGGTGACAAAATGTGTGAGACATTTTGAAAGATTAACAAGCTAGAGGCAGCAGCTTACCAGGACGCCATGGCTAGCACAATAAGATTCCTCAGCCTGCCCAATAAGTTCTGTCAGAATGTCCAGTGGACCCGGCGATAGGAGGGAAAGTTTAGACAGGAGCTCCTTAAACAACTGAACCCAGCCCCCATTCGTGAGCAGTGCCCCCCCTGCCCAGGAGCTTCACAGAGAACGCAATCCATAATCAGCCCCACATTGCAACAACCTCATTGACAGGCACTGTGCCTGCAAGCAAGGGATACCCTTTCTCTAGCTGAACAAGGAGAGCACCAGTATGCTTTAGGGATGAAGGGGAGGGTTACACAAAGGGTTTACGGGGGGAAGGGAGCCAATAACAGGTGCTGGATTTTTAGCTGTTAGTGAATTGCTTATCCTTCTATAGGAAAATTGGAGGAGTGGGCATTATGTTCCTGGGTTTTTTCTGTTCTGCTTTGGTTTACTGATGTTGAAATAAATTCTTAGATGCAATTAAAATGAATTGTCATCCATGTCTGTCTGCTCACAGGTGAAGGGTTGCAGAGGCGTGGCCCGCCCACACTCCCCCTGGCCCCAGGTTGCACCTCCACTGCACACAGAGAGGCAGGAAGGAAACAGCACAAAATTTTATTGAGATGGTCATGTCCCTAAAGCTGGGGTGGAAATGGCCTCTAATATCGAGGAAGGCATCGATGCTGGCAGCGATGTCCTCCTTGGTAGTGGGGGCAAGGATGTGTAGCGCTGCCACAGGTAGTCATCCAACCGGTGGCGAAGGTTGCATGGCAGCCCAGGCTCGCCCCCAGTGCCATCATAGCTCAAGGTCCTGAACCAGGAGTGCAGGTGTGCCCAGGGCCCTAGCAGGATGAGCAGGAGCAGCGCATAATGGTTTGGGCACCCCTCTGCCTGCACATACAGATCATCACGCACTGCCCTGGGCACATGAGGTACAGCTGTGGCATGGGGGAATGGCCTCCTGGTACCTCCCTGGAGAGGCCCCCTGTGGGGAAGGCAGGGACACGGCTAGTCCCTCGACCCAATTGTTCAGGAGCCCCATGCACCCCAAGCATGGATGCCAGGCTCTGTGCAGCACTGTAAGAGTGGCAGAATGGCTGGCGTTCAGGGAGTGGGGGGGCAGCGGAGTCTGCTGCTGTGGCAACTGGGAAAGGGGCTGGGCAGGCAGGCTGCCTGTGGCCAGTGCACAGCGTAGTAACGGCCACAGAGGATCAAGCAGGGACAGGTGGTTCAGCCAGCATCTGTCTAGGCATAGCCCTGACCATCTGGACAGCTTACCATGTCCCCTGGGCACCCTCACACTGCAACCGCTGATCTGAGTCCGGGCAGCACTGGGCCCCTGGTGCAGCGCATCACATCTCCGCAATGTTGCAAACCCACACAAAAATGCTTCTGTCTCTTGCCTGTGCAGAGCCAACATCTGGATGTAGGGGTGAGGGTGCAGGGCCCTGTGGGAGTGCTGCCTTTGGTTCCCCTGCCACCACCTGCCCCTGAAGCCGCCTGGAGGTGTACCAGGGACTGGACCCTCCTGCTCCAGCAGCAGGTGGCCACCCATGGACAGCCAGTGGTGGCCACCGTAACTGGAGCTGCTGCACTGCACCCATAACATTTACTCTAAGCACATGCAGCTTTACATCGTTCCCCAGGCAGCCCACCCAAGGCGGGAGCTAGAGGGGATGGGAGTTTTTCAAGGCCCAGGCTTTTATTATTGGGACCACAGAAAGAGATAGCAGGCAAACCAAGGGTGCTTAGTGTGTGTCCTGGCCCAGAATTTGGCTACAGTGGGGGACCCTAATTGGTCAGGTCCTCTGTGGCAGCGCTACACATCCTTGCCCCCACTACCAAGGAGGACATCGCTGCCAGCATCGATGCCTTCCTCGATATTAGAGGCCATTTCCACCCCAGCTTTAGGGACATGACCATCTCAATAAAATTTTGTGCTGTTTCCTTCCTGCCTCTCTGTGTGCAGTGGAGGTGCAACCTGGGGCCAGGGGGAGTGTGGGCGGGCCACGCCTCTGCATCAAAAACCTCCTGCCAACCATTCACAGGCTAGCAACAACCTCTTTCCACAGTCATACCTCTTAAAGAGAGAGACCATGGAGTGAAAAATGCAACAAAGGGAACAGAAAACTTTATTTACAAAAAACAAAAATAAAAAAGGAAACAAACCAAAGAACAACTTTTTAAAAATATTGATTCAAAAGTACCATGAATAACTATGGATTACTGTACTATAATTATACTATAACAATTAACTAAATTATTACTATGACAATAACTAAACAATTACTATAACAATTACTAACTATTCAGAGCTAATTAATAACTATTCTTACTAATTATTCTGAGCTTGACAGAGAACTGTTGGATTGCAGAGTGCAGATCCATGCCCACCGTTGCTGCTCACTGGCATGGGCAGGTGCAGAGGCTGCTGCAGGACCGGGTCTGATGACCACCAGGCATAGAATGGTTAGCAGTATGCCCATCAGTACTTTCCAGTCGTGCTGTGTGTCGGAATGCCTCCTGGACTTAGCATAGTTCCTTTTGTGTTGGATTCCCATGATGCTTCCCACAGCACAACTAACCTGTCTGACCAGCTCTTGCACCCACTGTTCACATTCCCTGAGGGCATTCACCACCCTGTCAGTTCTAGCATTGAATGCAGTCTGCCTTAGTTGCCTGGGTATCCTTGGAATCAGAGCTGAAAATAAAGGAAATCAAGAAAATCAACAAATGTGTGAAATAGAGTGAATTAAGGACTCTTGCCACTCAAAATAGACACACTCAGTGAATCTTGCATGTGTGCGGAAAGAAAGCATTCGAACCAAAATTACCGAGAATGGGTGCCTGGCCACAGTGGGTAGCAGACCCTGAGTGGCTGTAAACAAGTACAATCCAGCTGCAAACAGCTGTCAATTCAGGTGACAGGTGACTATAAATTTCCCCAGGGCTTCACATACCAGGTGTGGAGATCAAGGTCCTTGGTCTACCCTCCTTGGAGGAACTGGATGGTGGCATGGCCGGGACTTTTTTGCTTTCTTCTCCACTGGAGTCCCTGGATTGCCTGCGAGTGGCAGCCATGGTTGGCAAACTGTCTGCAGGACAGGATGCCTTGGAAGTCTCTGTCCCTCGGTGTTCATGCCAATTCAGTACCTCAATTAGCAGCTGGAGGTACCTGTACTGAGCCATGTAATGGAGTGGGGTGTCCTGCTGCTGTGCTCTGTCAATATCCCTGTGGAATTTTGCCCACAGCATCTTAGCCTTGACACGGCACTGTAGTGTGGTCCTGTTGTGATCCTGTTCTGACGTTCTCCTTGCAACATCAGGTAGATGTGCCAATTGGCCCTTGGGCTGCAGAAAAACTGAAGCATGATATCAGGGTCCCCCAGCACATGCACCAGGCTCTTAGTTTCAGTGAAGGTCCAAGTGGACCTAGAACTATGTGCTCTGGTCCGCTCAGTTCTGCCCTGAACGTCAGACATCTCAGATCAATTAAGGGTACCCTGGGGAGCTGCGCAGCCAGTTTATAGGCCTTGAGGTGACCTGGCCAAGGGCAGTTCATCACAAGCTCTGACCCTGTAGGGCCTGGGCAAAGTGTGAACAGCTGACATAGACGTGCTCTGCCAGGCTTGCAACTTTTGGCGCCAGCCAGAGGGGTTCACTTGGGTCATTTTGAGTCTAGACTGGGTCAAGCCAGGGTGGGGGGCTCTGGCTGAACCCGTAGTCACTTTGTGTATCTTATAGCCATGCTGATTCTGGATGACATGGGACAGGGTGTACCTGCTATTCATAAAGCAGCCATGCTTTAGGTTCATGATCAGGTTCACAGAATCCTGCTTGTTGGTTTTGCATAAAAGCGATGAGTGAATTAATGGTGTTATGGGAGACAAGCAATCAACAGACAGTCAAAAAGGGAGGTTTTAGAGGTGCATGGTGGGGGGGCCACACAGGTTCCACTCCCAGTGGGACTTGTTTCCTGTAACCACACCTCCTCTAGAAACTTGGTGATTTTGTTTTTTTGCGGATTACTCCTGAAACACGTCAAGCACACAGCAGAAAAAAGGCAGGTGCTGAGCAGAGGACTGAATGGACAAACCCCAATTCCCAAGGGCGGCCAGTCACCCCTTGTGGCTGAAAGCATCCCCCACACCAAACTCATACCAACACCCCCTCAGTGGAGACTCCCAACACCAACAGCAGCCACCACTGACAAGACTGATGCCCTTCAGATTGTACTGCTTGATTGAAAAAACCTTGATTGAAAAAAACAGAAACTTACAAAAATAAAACAGGAATTCAAATATAAATAAACAAATAACCAAATGGAGAAAATGGAAACACTGCTGAATACCCACTCCCCTATCCCACAACTAGAAAGCAATAAATAAAAGGAAAGATCTAAAATGCCCCCTTCAAAGTCTTCTTCCTCTCAAAAAATGGAGTCCCATCAGAGTAGCAGTGACCCTCTTCACCAAATGACAGGAGTGTTGCAGGGGAAGAAAGAAAGCAGAGGGAGTTGCCCCATACTCCCAAACTTACCTTCCTTGCTTCCTCTTAGAGGCTACAAAATCTCCCATGGGAGATTTCCCCAAGCCTTGTCTGGGCATATCTATGCACTTGGTGTGGCTAAATATCCTTGTTCAGGAGTCTGGGTTGCTGCATCCAATGTCTGCAAGCAAGGCACAGCTGGAGGGCAATTGGAAGAGAGCCTAACATATTCCAACATACCCTAACCTATACTTTCACGCTTTCCCCTATTACCATATACCTAAGCCCCCCACAACGGCAAACTTACCACTGGCTGTACTTCTGCCTCTGGCTCCTCTTCCTGATGTTGTAGCTGATGGGGTGGGGGAGGAGGGGTAAGGGGGAGGAAGCTGCCGGGGATGCGGTGGAGGGAAATGGGAGGGGGAGGGGCGGCGGGGAAAAGCATGACTAGAGTAGGCTGCAGAAGCACAACCAAAATAGGTGGCAGTTGCATTACCACTGTGATAATGTGTACAGGAGGGGTGAAGGGTCTATGGGAAAGTGGGACAAGAATAATGGGAAGAGGGGCTGATGGAGAATGGGGGATGGCAGTAGTCAGGCCTCCTTGTCAGACCTGAGCTCCTTGGTCACCTGGAATCCCTGGCTGTGGTGGGTAGCTGGATGTCCTCTGGGTCAGTGTATGTTTTCTTCTATGCTGCTTGACCAAAAAACTTCTGCTCTGTGTTTCTCAAAGAAGAATATGCAATGAACTCTGGGGGCTCATTAAACATGTATGAAGTGTTAAATGCTCAGAACAGAACACACCCAACAGGGCCAGAGATGACCTATGTTTTTGCAAAGATGCCTCGATGCCTGGCATAGCTCTGGATCTGCTAATGGGACCTGTTCAAAAATAGGTTGCAGGGACCTCAAATCCACATTAGCCAACCAACCCTTAATTCAGGGTTCATCTATTTCAATGTTCAGCTCAGCACCCCGCTTTTTCCTCCTAAACACATCTCATGTGAAAAGGGGATGCTTGGAGACTTGGGGCATTTGAGACTGCAATTTTACTGGTTGCTTCTGGCACCTTGATGCCTGGCATAGCTCTGGATGTCCTAATGGGACCTATTAAAAAAAAGGGTGTAGGGACCTCGCACCCACATTAGCCAGCCAACCCTTAATTTGGGATTCAGCCATTGTAATGTTCTGCTCAGTGCCCTCTTTTTTGTGTTGGATGCATCTCATGTGAAAAAGGAGGTACTTGGAGACTTTGGACACTTGGGACTGTGATTTTACTGGTTGCTACTGTGCTCCTGGGTGCCTGGTATAGCTCACCAACCCCAATCTTCAACCCCTGAACTCACCCTAGGACACCCAGCTGTCAAAACAATGAAATAGGAGCTGACAAACACAAAATGGTTTCTTTGAACTATTTATTTACTGAAGTATGAAAAAGAGGTCAGCAAAAGATTGATTCATGTTGGGCTCTGCAGCTATACCTAGTATACTAAAACATTCATTGCACACAAATACCTAAAAAATACCTGCAAATACCTGCAAAGTGTAGTGACACTTGGTGGACAAGGGTGCTCACCACACAAAAATTGTAGCAACACCTGGTGGACAAAGGGGCTAAGTACATGTAATTTAATGAATTACCATGTACAGGTGACAGATTTATGGCCTCCTTGTTGCAATTTGCAATGTGTCAAACTAAACTACATTGGGATGTGGTTTAGTTTGTAATGATGAGAACTAATTTAAAACCCCAAAAACTCACATACATGCAAAGTGTGATGCCATTAAGCTACACAAAGGGGAATTTCATCACGTGTACATGGCAACATTGTCATGTGTACAAGTGCTCACAGAGCTTCATCAGTCTGCTATTGTTTATCCAGGTAGGTACGATTCATATAGGGTTTCCTCCAACACAACATGAAATCAATGCAAATATTTCCTTTTGCATCAGCAGGTCAGGGCCTCATGTCAAAGGCACCAGAAAGCAAGATGGCCTGCACTGTCACTGGTCTTAATGGGAACTGAGGGCTCTTAGCACCAACCGTGGGCTACAACTGAATAGCAGGGCCTGATCCTTTGAGGGGCTGAGCACCTCCTTTTGCACTGACATCTGCATACACTGAGGCTGGTCAGAACTTGGCAGGAGGAAGCCCTGAGGCCTGCTTCTGTACAACAGGTGTTGAGGACCTTGTTATCATTGACTTGAATGGGAACAGGCTTGGCCCCATAGCAACTACAGCAAAGGCTGAAGCGAAAATAGCTGCAGAAGCTGTCCTGAATGGCACATATTTCATGGGCAATGTAATTTATTCTGAGTAAGGGTTGTTTTTGGCAGAGCTCTCTGAGCACATTTTTATGTTCTCTCTCAGTTCTCTCTGTAGATAACTCGGTTGTCACAGTTGTTCACTCCTCCCTTCTCTATCTTCCCCTCCCCCTCTTCTCCACTCCTTCCCGGCATGAACTCACTAAGCACGTTCCTTTCCTGCAGCGACTGCTGAAATTGCTTTTTATTTTTAAACACTGGGATACAAAAGATCTACCTTTATCATTCCCTTGCAGTCCCAGCAGCTTCACCTTTCCTAATTAAGCAACTGCCAATCGTCAAGCGGACATGACAGGCACGAAGGCAGAGGAAGAACAGGCTGCACAATGAACACACAGCTGGCCCCCCGCTTCCTCTTACCATAGAATGCGAATTCTAGGAAGATGCCTCATCCATTATGAGGTATCTGTCTTTAGCAAACACGAATCACCAGCTTGTGCCTTTCCTCTGCAAAGGGGGATGGGGAAATGCATTCTCACTAAGAACCCTGTGGCAACTGGCGGGTTTTCTTCTAGTACAAAAAAAAAAAAGATGGGATTGATAAAGGCTCTGGTGGAACATGGAAAATAAGATCATAGTCCATCCAATGTTATTTTTTAATTTCTAGTTTGTATTCTATTAATCCCTTTTTAAATTTTGCAGCCTACACACTGGCACAGAATTTCTGTAGACCTGAATGTCCACCTTCCTTTCATCAGCATTCGTGTAAAGAGATGCCAACCTGAATTAACTCAGCTGTGAGCTTAGACAAAGAATCAAGCTTGATTCATATTCAAGAGTGTTTGGGTCTGGGGTTTTGGTTCAGTCCACTGTGCACAGAGAAAGCCCAGCCACAACGTTTAGGACCAGATCTGAACTACCACAATATTTGGAGGAATTCAGATCTTTGGGGTTTGGGTTCTAGATTAGGTGCGTCTTGTAGATACGTAATGAATGAAGTTCAGTTAAGGGTAGACTAAGTGCTGAGCAGTTTGTTGGAGCTGAAGACTTCCTGGTCAGTTTTCTGGTACTTTTGTGCTCTGGGTAGTAATGTAAAAAAAGTGTGAGAGGATGCATGCATGCATTTCCCAAAGCATTCTGGTGCTTTTGCTTTTGGCTGCAGTCAGAGTGAGAGAGTGCAGGGTCACTTTGCATATACATAAAAAAAGCAGCAAAGGAAAAATGTTTTACTGGATTTTATGACCTGCAAAGATACCTTGGATTGAGTCAAGGGTGAGGGCTTGTGGAAACATCCAATTTTATTCAAACTGTCTTTCTATTTTCATCTATGATATTTATACAGCTCTGTAGGACTTACTCATCTTTTTTCTCCAATATCAAGATGATGCTTTTCTATTTTTCATGAACGGTCTTCCCTTCCCCCTCCCTTCCTCTCCTTATTTGTCATTTGGCTATAAGGCAAAATGAAACATCTGATCTAGCCAGTGTATGTATAAAGGAAAATGGAGTCACTGTGCTAAAAGTAGCGATAGTTGAATGAATTTGATTACAGATTTAGGAAGGAAAGTCATGCCATATTATGCTACAATATTGGGAC